TTTCCTCCCCTGGGTAAACAGACAGAAAGGATATTTGCTTTTTGGTGAAGTGATGAAACACTTCTTTAGTGTCTTCACATTTTTCTTCAAAAAATGGGAACAAAATTCTGCTGTCAGTAAAATGAACTGTCAGAACTACTACATGTACTGAGTTTAATTTCATTTAATATTTAATGACTAGCTAGCTTTTCCTGGGATAATGATTTCACAAGAAGAGAGAGATCAGAGCAGACCTCCTGCTATCCCAGCATAGCTACAACAAGAAGTGTAGAAACGCAGGGTCAGTTCAACAGCACAAGATTTTGCCATCTGTACTCATTGTGGGTAGCACTTCTCTCCTTGAGGGCCTGCACTTGGATCAGTAGTACTGCTGCAGAGAAAATGAGGCATTCAGTATGCATTAAGGCACAGAATTTGACTGTAACTGCAAAATGCTTCCTTCCTTGGTAAGAATAAGCTGGATATATTTTAAGGCAATCCTCTACCTTCTCCCACCTTTTATAAGAAAGAAGTGGGATGTTTGTTCTCAGATCTCATGTGCCACAAGACTGTGCTCTTCAGCCCTTTCAGTTGTCACATGAATTCCTCACCCGGCCATGTCACAGTGATGTTATTTTATATAAAGAGGACTTTTCTACAATAATTTCCACAACACATTTGGAACAGCAATCTGTCTACATTTCTGCATGCCAAGCTTAATGCTAGGCAGCCTTGACCATTAAATAGTATCTGTATGTATTTGACGTCAATGTCAAAAGTAACATTTCTACACTCAGTGGGTTAGCAGACATACTTGTTGGTGATCCACATGGCAAATAGGCTCTGGTTTCTCATAGTTGCATTGGCTCTGTAGTGCTGATGTTCTTGTTAGTTCTTGTCTTTGGCATTCTCAGATGCATTCCTCTGAATTTTAAGTTAGTAAAACCATTAGATGCAAGGAGGGAACAAGAAGACTCACAGCATATGTCAGCATATATTCAGTCTGCAGGCAAACAGTACTGCCTGTGCTAACCCTAATCCATGTATAAAGATATAAAAATGGCCTAGGAAGTTAATTATGACAGGCAAAAAGAAAAGAAAAAAAAAACAACTGTAGGATTTTGCTCCAAATGACAGCAAATGCCTTTGGCAGAATGACTGAAACTCAGTCCCTGAAAAATCCTTCTAGGACACATAGCTTCTCTGACATAAAGTGAGTGGGCTTACTATGTGGATTCCATGATTTCAGTCATTTTCTACCCATAGCTAGACTAATATCTGTAATTCTTCCTTTTCTAATTTTTGACTGCCATTGGATAGGAACCTTCTTCATAGATTGATCTGTTTATTTGGTTTTAGTTTTTTCTTTCTTAAATGATGGATGCATTGATGGATAGTGTCATCACAGCCTTGTGAACTCAAGGATAAATTCATAGGCTATTAGCGAAAGTACTACCTGTCATCTCTACTGAGCAGGTCTTACTCCCTCCTCCCCAGACTCCCAGGATGGCTTGAGGCTCTTTTTTTTTTCCTTAATGTTTTATTTTGTACTGAACTGCACCCTGTGGTTAATTCTCCTTATTTTTCAGCTTCTCTTAATCAGCCTGCAGAGTTACATGGATGCATTCCATCCACGTATCTCAAGTTTTGCCAAGCACAAAGAGCAGGGAGAAACAATAGCACAGATTTTAGAGTATCTGATTGCTTTCTCCCCCCCTCTCTGGCTGTCACTGAAGAACAAATAACTGAATATTTGTACCTGTTCATTGTAAATAAATCCCATTTGATTTGCGATGACATGAGAAAGATGGTGTTCAGGTATTGCCCTTGCTTCCCTACCAGATGCCAACAGGGGGAGTTTGAGCTCTGTCTCAGATTTATGCTTCTGACAATTTCCTTGCCTTTAGTGATATTGATCATGAGGGATAAAAGTTATTTATTTTCCCACATTTCAATAACGTTTCTTAACGCCTCTTTCCTTTAAAGAAACACTTCTGTAGCTCTTCTATAGATTGAAAATGAAGGCACAGTTCATATCTCTTGCTGAAATCCTTTTTAAAGGACCAGTGATGGAATAGTTCTACACCCTGCCTTGTGAGATTGAAAGAAAACTAATTTGCCTCTGAGATGAATCAAATCCAGACGTTAGAAAACTATCTTGATTTCTCCCTTCCCCCCAAAACCCCAATGACAGAAGCAGAGCTGCATTCCCTCACTCATTTTGTATAAACTAAGGTTTGAAGGATAAGACCATAGAAATAAAAAAATCTGCCTCTGGCCTATCAGTGTAGATCAATTAATCCACACCTAGATAGAAAATAAATGAGAAAATTTTTCTCCCTTTATTTGTTTGTTTAAGAAGGAAGTAAATAGAGAGGCCCTTCTCTTGCAAGGAGAAGGAATGATATCTTAGGAAAATGAGGCTCTGTTCTTAGAAAGAGGGTGTAAATCACGCTTATATGCTAATGAATGGTGGAAGACATTTTTGAAGACGCATTTTATCTCTTTATCATTAATACAGAATGTGTCTATGCAGTGCTGTAGTTCTACCAGGTCCCAGAAAATAAACTGCAACTTCTCTTTTTTTCACAGAATTTCTCATTTACTTCTTATGTGAAAAAATATTTTTGAAATTGTCTTCAAAGAACAAGGACAGCATCTTTTTTTGTAAGACATACACAATGTTTTCAGTTACTACCGAGGAAGGTATCTTCCATTTATTGCACCTCTAGGGTTCACTCAAGTTGTATTTCAAGCACTTTTAGCTACCATCCAGACCAGACTTCAATTTCTGAATCTGCTTCATTTTATTTGTAAACACAAGCAGATACAAAGCTCTTCAGAGAAAAGTGAAATATCCTGAGTCATCTACTGAGGGCTGGCACCATCTCCTATTTTAAAATACCTACTGTTTTCTTTGATTCTAACATTCAAAACTGGAGCTGCTTTTAAATAAATTATTTCAGTTGAGAGGGTCCAGGGCTGTTATTTTGTCAACAGAGGCCAGGGTAGCAGAAATCTTTCTTAGTCAGTTGTCTTCTCTGGGGGAATCCCGAAACATTTATACTAAGTTTATGAAAAGAGCATTTTTAAGGGGTTAAAAATTATTCAGCATCTACTTGCCATCTGAATTTTGAATTCAGAAGGTGTGTCATTCTCTCCATATATACACACACATGAAGGCTTTGTGTAATAGACAAGTACATGGAAGTAAAGATGTATGCATCTAAAAATACGATTGCCTACTTCAGGAATCCAAATGATGATTCACATCTTTAGCAGTGATACTCATTATTTTACTTGCTCCAGTCCTGCAGCTAGTTAAGAAGCTTTTTAATTAGCTGTCATAAGAAATTCGTTCAAAGGATTTCTAAAGCAGAGAAGGTTAATGCCATGTTGTGGGGGGAAGGGAGTCAATTTACTGCTATAGCAAATAGGGCAATTTTCTTGATTTGATGGAATTACGTTGGTGAGAAATCCAATGTTTCTTGATATTGACGTAATTTTGTTGTGTATGCTGAAATGGCTCTCTGTAATAGGCTGATCCTGAGCGTGTGCCAAAGGGCAAGGATTGCCTGGTGCGGCTTGCCGAGATGCTCTGTCTATTCCCATGCCAGCAGGCCAGAAAGAAGGGGTGAATAGCCCCAGGGGTACCAGGATCAGTTGGAGCTGGCAGGTTTTACTGGGACAGTTGCAATATTGCAGTAATACAGCTGCCTGAGCCTAGCTCTTGAGTAACAAATGGAGAGTAAAAGCGATTCCCAAGGATACTGAAGTAGGTTCTCTCCATCACTGGCTATGACCCTGGTATTTCCCCTGAGCATGATGCCTCAGTTCACACCCTAAACAATCAGAGTAGAGATAGGGCTGGAAAACCTTCAATTTCTCCTGTATACGCATTTCTGGATAAAGCCCAGGTTGGTTGTTTAGACCACTGGCAGAGTGAAAGAGTGGAATGGCATGTGGACTTAAGGAGAGTGGTTAGATCAAGAACTCAGGCTGAGTAGCATCTTGGAATTAAGCTTCTATGCAAGCTTAATTAGAAGGCATATTCACTTGTGCAATCCTCACACCTTTGAGAGAAAATATTTGTCCCAAACACAAGGACTGCATGTACACTACAGCATACATTGGACAGCTGTGGCTTCTGGCTATGCTTCTACTTGTGGGGACATGCCAATCTGCATCATGCCAGTGTGTGCTCTGCATTTCTTGAGAAGAGAATCCGGATGCATAGAGGCAGTGATGGAACTGAGATGCAGTGAGTATGCTGATCTGGATGACTATAGGACCAGGCCCACTGGGAACAAGGTGCACTAGGAATTTGTGCACCATTATGTTCTAACCAAGAATGCCAAATCAATGGCTAGGCTGCTGGTTGCAGTATACATGTGTCTAGGTTGTATATAACAAAATCCAAACCCTTGCAAAGAAGTAAGCAGAATAAGAGTAAGGAGATGTACAGTTGAGATAAGTAGATTAAAAAGTTTTTACTGGTAAATGAGTTATCAATGGAAAATTACTCATGTGTCTATCTGTGACTTCTAGACAGTGTTACGCGGACATTGAACAAAACAGTTTGCATTTCTGGAGTAAGGCCACGATGCTTTCAGGGATCATATATCTTTTAGTCAAATGTGTTACAGGATCTCTGTCTCTAAAGAGAAAAGGACACTCTACAGAGGGAAGTGGAAATATCTGTAGAATTGTTCATTCCAAGAGCCTTGTGTTTAAAAAATAAAATTCCATGAAGCATTACCAGGAATGGGAGAGGAATGAGGGGCAATACTTTAAAACAAAACAAAACAACACAACAGAGAAAAAAAAAAAAAAAAAAGCAAGTAAGTTTTGTCTACCATGTGCTTGAAAACAATAGCTCTGAGTCAAAACCTGCTGGACTCAATTGGGAATGCTGTGGTTTAGCTAGTCCAATTAAGCTGAACTGGAATGCTCTTTTTGTCTTTCAGCAAGCCAGTAAAAGTTGGCAGAGATCTGATCAGCTGTTCAAGCCTTGCGGAACAGTCCTCAGAGTTCAACTCTTATATCTTGTTAGGGGCCCAGTACAAAAAATTAGGGTTAAGCAGGTTGTAGGTTTAGCTGGTAGTTCTGTTTGAGAGGTGCATAGAATAAGGTGTCCTTTTTCCTGCATGGAAGAAAAACGTTTATTGCCTCAGAAAGGTATGTGCTCATGTACTCTTCTTTTCTGAAAGAGAGGCTTGCTGTGCAAAAAGAAATATGAGTAGCTTGAGTGATTTTTCATGCTACTGATTCTATACTGACAAGCTGAGTTCTTTGTCTGGTGGCACATGCCCAAGGAGGTTTATATGTATCTAATTTGGAGCTACCTCCTTTTGGTCCCTCATCTTGTGCCCTCTCTCATTGCCAGCTCTGATATTTGTCTGATCTTGTCATGAGCCTGTTCAGGGAGCTAAGCTGACTGAAACTACTGCTTTTTCTGCAGAATTACTTTTTACCTGGTTTAACTCCCGGAATCAGCTCACAGAAGGGTCACAGCAAGGCTCAGCACTGGCACGGAAGAGCTAGCTGGAATTTGTGGCAAGGTGGAGAAGGAGATGGCAGGACTTTGATTCATTGGGATCTTGGGGAACCTCAGTCCACAGCCACTTAGCCTTACTTTTGACTCACTGACCTACTGTCCTCCTATGTATTTTATATCCAAATTTATATAAGTATAAACTCTTTAACTGAAACTATTTTGTTGTGCATCTGCATACTGTTGGGCCTGCATTCTCCTTCAAAATTAGACTGTGGTCGGGAAGTCTGATGCATCCACCTGGGTTTGTGAAATGCTGTGAATCTTGTCTTTGAAAGTTTAAATCCTACCACTGTGATGGCTCCAAGCCAACAAAGGAGTATGGAGAGATACACTTGAAGGTGCACTTGAGGTATAAAAAAGAGAAATACTTGAAGGTTTACTAACCTTCACTAAACTGAGAATAGCTGTTAAGTCCCTCAAGGTTAGAAAGGTCTTGAAGAGATATCTTGACCAATTAAAAGGCTGAGCAGTCACCAACTGGATGAAGTTCAACAACTGCAAGGATCACATTCTGCACCTCAAGCAGGGTAACCCTGGTTATATGAACATACTAGGGGATGAAAGACTGGAGAGCAGCCCCATGGAAAGGAACCGGGGGGTTCTAGCTGATGGCAAGCTGTACCTGAGCCAGCAGTATGTCCTGGAGCCAAAGGGACAACAGCACCTAGGAGGCACCAGGCCCAGCACAGGTGCCTTCTGCTCTGCAGTGTGCTGCCTCACCTGCAGCACTGGGTGTGGGTTTGGGTGCTGCGATTTAACAAGGACATAAAGCTGTTAGCATCCAAAGGAGGGTTACAAAGATGGGGAAGGGTCTGAGGGCAAGGTGTGTGAGAAGCGGCTGAGGCCCCTGGGTGTTCTCAGCCCAGAGCAGAGGAGCTGAGGGGAGGCGGAGGAGCAGGGAGCCGAGGGGAGCGGAGGGGCAGCGCTGAGCTCTGCTCTGTGTGACAGCGACAGGGCCCGAGGGAACGGCATGGAGCTGCGTCAGGGGAGGGCAGCTGGGGGTCAGGGAAAGGGGCTGCACCACAGGGCGGTGGGTATAACCTCAAGTGCAAGAGCTCACGGAGTGTCTGGACTCAGACATAGACTTAGGGTTTGATTTTTGGATGGTCCTGTGTGGAACCAGGATTTGGACTTGATGATTCTTGCGGGTCCCTTCCAACTGAGAATATTCCAGATATACAGAAATGTCTATTTGGAGACTTCTGGTAGAAAGCTGTACTTAGAGCACAGCCTCAAACTATATTCACTGGGAAGTTCCCTTAACAGATGATGCTAGCTCCTTCAGTTCTAACAAAATCAAATTATTTTCAAAATTTGTTGTGCAATTAATAGTTGTAGCTGGTGCAGAGATATTAAGCAATTGTAGATGAGCAAGAGAAGTGGCTTGTGAGATGGTAAAAGGTGGGGAGAAGTCCCAAGAAACAATTTCTTTCCTAAATGTGAGTTCCCCGTTTTGCAAAGGCCTGCAAGGCTGCCTGTAATTTCACCTTTTCTGGCAGTTTGACTTCTACTTCCACCTGCTGGTCAGTATCATTGTTTTAAGCCTCTGTCTCTCATCTGTTTGCTTTAACAATTTCTGTTAAATCTAGCCCAACCTACATGTCTTAGCTACCAGCAGTTTCAAATGGAGGTGCATGACCTTCCTTCCTTAATGTTTTCTCAGTGGTCCTTTGTTGCAGAGTATGAGATGCAGGAAATAATTTTTTATTTTCCTCCTCAGAATGAGGCTGTAGTTACCTGAGGGTTGAAAAAATGAACATTGTAATTCAAGGCAATAGCACGCAACAATGAAGAATGTAAATGGTGCTTTTCACTTAGCCTGGTTTCTTGCTCTCTGTTTTTTACCTGGAGCAGACAAATGACTAGTCCAGTAATTAAAAGGAATACACCTAGAGAATTAGCCATATAATGAATGTCCCAGAAGCTGAAATTTTAGCTGGCTGTGCGTTTAGTCCCCACAGGCCTAAAATGCAGAAGCCAAATTCCAGTTTAGACTTGCTGCTTTCAGATGACAGCATGAGTTCTAGTAAAAGTACCATTTAAAGAATATATTCTGCTTAAATTCATTATCCTTTTTCTCTGTGTACCTTAAAGTGACATTTAATGGAAGAAAGAACAGGGCAGAAGTAAACGTTGAATTGCAATAGCATATACTTTATTATCAATGGTCAGAAGAGGAAGTAACGATCTGATAAAGGATTCAAGCTCTCATATACATAAAAAGATGTAAGAAAAATTCCCAAAAAGGAGTTTTCTATTGCTGGTCTGGGTCACATTGAAAATACTTTACTTCTATGCTCATGGCTTGTGGGACAAAATCTAGATTTTGTGTGAGAGTAAACTAGATGTGTTTCACTCTTATTCAGAAGATATTCCTCTTTCTTTTTAGTCTTATAATATAAACGGTGCTGAGTCTCAGAGAAATGGTTGCAAAACCAAAAGGTTTCTTTTTCATATTATGCAGCTTTGGACACCCTTTCATGAATAAAATGACACGACAATGTGTGAAGTAACAAAGGAATTGTAAGCAGTGGCCAGCATGTGGAAAGTCAAAACTATCTACAGCTGAATAATGTTCTTCTTAGAAATGGAGGGCAAACAGCAGTATAATTGAGTATTGCATCTCTATGTGGCTTTGGAGATCACATAATCCAAAGTAAAAAATGGTATGCATGTGTTCCCTCAGATATTCTTTGGAATGGAAGGGCTATATATCAAAACCTTATTTCCTGGTAATGAATTTTAAATAAGTGCCCAGGGCATCAGGTCACTGATGTTTCTACTTTGCAAACTGGGTGGGCTATGAAAGCCCCTAGAGCCCTTCAAAGGAACCTTAAAAAAATCCCTAGCTTTAACTGACCAAACTTTTCAAGAAAAATACCTGAAACAATTAGGAGAATGAAAACCAGGAGGTCAGATTACTTGGCCCATGGCTGAGGATTTACATAAATAGGCCTAACCTTTGACTTGAAAATAAAAGGTAAGTACAGAACCCTGACAGAACAGCAGGTCATTGGTATTTACTCTGTAAAGTACTGCCTCTATTGCTATGACAAAAATGCCAGGAATTCCACTGATCACTGTGTGCTGATAGGGCTCAAAGGTATGCAGCCAGCTAACAGAAACCCAGCCTACCTGACTGATCGAAACTGCATTACTCCCACGCATTTATAACCTGCAATCTTCAAGCGTGGGAAAGTGTGCAAGGCCTTAGAATAATTCCTGAGGAGAAAAAAAAAGGAGAAAGTTGCTGTCTGTAAGAGTCCTCATGTCCTGGATAATGTACGTTAATAAAAAATCTCCCAGTGAGCATCTTGAGAAGTTTTCTTCACAGTGCTTATCCGGAATTGGTGTTGCATGAGAGGCTGAGATTGGTACCATATTCAGAATTGTCAGCGATGATCTGTACTTAACGAGCAGCACTCAGCTGCAGAAATGATACCAAGTTATAGGAAGCCATTAGCCTGTATCATTTTCTTACAGACAAAACCCTAAGCAGTAAATCTACAGGAGACATTGTATGCATGTTTGTGTTACTTTTTGTCAGGCAATGGCTCTACGCTCACGAGTCTAAGAATCAAAAGAATTTTCCTTAGCACAATAGCAAAAATATGTTAGATCATTTTTTCTTTTCTGTATGGATAGCAGAGGAATGAGTACCCCTGTGAAAGGGGAAACAGTAAGTGCAAAGTTTTTTTGTTCGTGTTTTATAGACATTCAGTTTCCTGTTTCAATCTGAGATGCAGGCACACACCAACTATCCTGCAGGCTATTTCAAACTTGCTTGTCTAATTAATCAAAAGTGATCCATTACAGAAAACCTGCAGGAATGTCAGAGATGGATGCTTCTGTCTGTACTGTTTTTGACTTGCTTGTTGCAACAGAAGGGGAAGCTGTTAGTGCCTGTCTAGCAAATTATTGAAAGATGGTGTAAGAGGGCCTGCCGCCTTCCTCTTGAAGGGCCAGGAAGCCTGGGGCTAGCCAGCCCAGTGCTGTTCTCCATGTCTGCTAGACTGCTGTGGGATTTTGGAGGGAGGAGGAGGAATATCCCGCAGCTGGAGACTGATTAGGGAGGAAGATGGGCTGCCTTTATGCCCTGGATGCAGCCTGGCCAAGTCCTGTGGTTGAGCAGGCAAGCAGGTAGCGGTGGTAGTCAGGAGCTGGGAGCCACTTGAGGATGGTTGAACAAGGAGCCAGATGTGCTCCTGTCCCCAGTGAGTTTGAGCATTATGCACAGGGGAGCCCAGCCTAGTACCCTACTCTAACCAGTACAAGCTTGATAGTGCACTGATTGGCACCTTTCCCTTCTTTTCCAGTCAACCAGCATGAACCCAGCATACATTTGAAAGGAAATGAAAAGCATCTAAAGGTCTCTGAAGGGAATTCATGGTGACACAGAGCCCGCTTGGTGTTAGTTCAGCTGTGACCCCTTACCAGGATCAACTATCACCTCTTCCTGTGACCTCTGCCTGCCCTAAGTCTCCTTGGATAGAGTGGTGGCCAGGTGCCCCCTCCTCCAATGTGGCTTGATCCTTCCTGTGAATACCCACACAAAGTATAACACAGTCTGATTTTGACTCCATGTACACTGGTGCTGTGTTGTTCTGGCATTGTTTTACTG